GAATGGATGAGGTACGTGCGAAAGATGATGAAAGCTTGAAAGTTGAGGTTTCCGAAGGTTGAATGTTGCGTAACTAACTTACCCGTGCTAATATAACTTAGTAGCATAGAATAGAATAATTTTGTTTAATAAAGATAGTAAGAATATTTATTAAAAATAATTTATTCTTTTATCACTGGTTTGGAAAAAGGCTCTGTCCTGGGAAGAACCAGAAAGAAATCCAGCTGGACTTTTTCTAAACATTAACTTACAATTTGTCATGTGGTACAACTAGCATGCTAGCAATCATCACATTCCCAGGGGTTATTATCAATCATGTACTTTTTGGAGTATAATAACCATAATAAAACAAAATTTGATTAACGAAAGTTTTAAACTTTTTGATATTTTATTTATGTAGGTCCAGAATATCTTGTAAGATTTGAGATATTTACTTTATAAATATATTGCCCCATGAAAGAAATTTTCTTTTTGGATTCGAGCATCTGGTGGCTAGCTTTTGTTCCTTATATTTACAGAATATGAATGAATATTTTTAATAACACAATCTTTTGTTTTTGTGTATCTACATACAGTAAATTTTTGTCAATAATTGTCACAATCTTGATATAGATACTCTCAATCAACATTTTTCTCTTCCACCTGTTTCCTTATCTTCATTTATAAAGGCTAAGACCTTGTTAGAATTATCCAGATGCCCTGTACAACATTTCCCCAAGTTTGAATTTGTACCAGTATCAGAAGATGAAGTAAAACGGTCAGTGCTATCCATATCTTCTACTGCGTCGGGAAACGATAAAATTTCTTCCACAATGATAACTATGATTTTACCTTGTATTCTCCCAGTTCTTACTTATATATTTAATTTTTCATTGTCTTTCTCCTGTTTTCCATATTCGTAGAAGTTAGCACACATTATTCCTACAGCTAAGGTTGCTAACCCTACATTACCTTCTGAATTTCGACCTATATCTATATTACCATTCCTCTCTAAAGTACTGGAACATATTCTTCACAATCAATTTTCTTCTTATCTTAACTTCAACAATATTTTAAGTACATTTCAATCTGGATTCCGGCCTGGTCACAGTACAACAACTGCTCTTCTTCAGGTAACTGATGATATCCGTCGAGCCATATATCAAAAACAATTAACAGTACTCGTTTTATTAGATTTTAGTAGTGCCTTCATTTCTGTTGACTTTGATATCCTCCTTAAAATTCTTCAGGCTATCAATGTTTCATCTTCGGCCATTCTTTGGTTTGATTCCTATCTTCGGGGACGCTCGCAATGTATCCGCACCAATGACCCTTATTCCAACTGGTGTAATCTTATTGCAGATGTACCCCAAGGTGGCGTCTTGTCTCCTTTACTCTTCACCGTTTTTATTAATTCTATAACGAAAATAATATCCTCCAACTTCCATCTTTATGCAGACGATTTGCAGCTTTACCGTTACTTTGAGGCATCTGAGGCTAAAATGGCGATAGATGCACTGAATGACGATTTGGATAGAATTAATTGTTGGTCCAGATCCCATGGTTTATCTATAAATCCAAGTAAGTCTCAAGCGTTAATAGTAAGCAGCAGATATAATAGTAGTATTATTGATAACTGCACCCTGCCAAATGTGATTATCAATGGCACATCAATTGCTTATTCGGAATCCGCGAAGAACTTGGGCCTAATTATTGACAATAGGTTATCATGGGGTGCTCATATAACGGACTTAAGCAGAAAAGTACATTATACTTTTCACTCGTTAAAACGATTTCAAAGTTTTTTACCCTTATCAATTTCAACCTCTCTCTTGTCCAAACTCTCATTTTGCCAATCTTAGATTACGCTGATGTCTGTTTTTTGGATGCTACAGAGGAGCAATTAAACAAACTTGAGCGATTGCAAAACCTATGCCTTCGGTATATTTTTGGACTCAAGAAGTTTGACCACGTCTCTAAATACAGAAAGCAGCTCAAGTGGCTCCCGATCCGATGTCGCAGGAACACTCGTATCCTTTGTCTTCTTTTTAATATCTTACACAGTCCGAATTTCCCTTCATACCTTCGTAATCGATTCACCTTTTTTAAATCTCCAGATGCAATTTGTAGATCTCACCTAAAAACCCTCTTAAAATTCCCATCCTTTAAAGCTCATTCATATTCCCGTTCATTCTCTGTACATGCAGTAAGACTCTGGAATTCACTTCCTCCTACGATTCGAGAAATCAAGACAGTGACATTATTCAAAAAACGTGTAAAAGAACATTATTTATCTCTGTCTTCTGTGTAAGTTTCCATATTTTTGATATTTACTATACTTTTTATTATTTATATATATTTAATTATGACTATACATATATTTATTTTATCTTGTATGTATATATGTATTTATGTGTATATAATAACAAAGTGCACACCTTACTATCTTTTATTTATCACATATCTTTTTAACTGGCCTACTGGAAGAAATTTCATAATGGGATAAGTAGCGCCCTTGTACAAACTGTTCATCATGTTGTGTTCTTTCCTTTGTTTGTGTGTACATAAATTGTTAAATAAATAAATAAATATAATACCTACCCTCCATACCGTATTACCGGTAACGACTTCCAGTCTCAACGGAAATTAGCCATCTGCACAGGGCAGGATTATACTACTGTAGTACTCCGGTGTATGTGCATGGACGAGTGTATTGCAAACTCTATTCTCTAACTCGAATAGTCGTTTGGGACGGTAACGACCCGTGAGAGATCAACTTTCTCTTTCCATGGATGCAGGTGGAGCACGACAATGTTTTGTGAAATCGCATTGTACTTGTGAAGGGCTGTAATGATGATGATATTTGTTTTGGGTCTTTTTAGTTTTTATCAAATTTAGCTCAGGAGCTGGTCTTAAATTACAGAATACGTGGTAGAGCCATGCTGCGGCTATATTAATAGTATAGTTGTAGCACGAATGGGTCGGCTCGACCGGCGAAGGACCACGCTCTCACATAATACCAGCTTAAAATAGCAGCTTAATGCTGCTGTGTTTCGTATGGTGAGTGTAGAGAACCGGAGACCCTTTTTACTTGTCAAGAGGCATTCTATATTAGTCCTCACGGGTGACTACGCATCTGCATTTTAATTCGTAAACGAAGATAGATTTAGTCTTATCTTTTTAGTCTATGGGCCACAACAACCACTTACTATCAGGTGGGCTGTGTGCTCGTTTGTCACCCTTATTCTATAAAAAAAAATGCAAATGAATATGCAAGCAGATGGTAGCGCTCAGTGGTGGATAACGTTAAATTGCGATAAATTATTTTAGTGGAACTATAGTGATATAACTCAAGTTGTATCGTTTTCTGCCTAGATGTTTGACTTGGTTTTGTATAATTATCATTCCAAATCAACCTCTTATCAATTTTAGTTGTCAATCCGTGCGTCCAGTGCCGTGGTTGAAAGGTGGGAATGTTTGCAAGTTAGAAATCTCATCTTTATCCATAGGAATGGTACCCACCCGGATGGACTCCTAGACAGACCAATAAGTAAAATTATCCATTTAACGAAGTTATACTGCATATGTTATACCGCTATTTATCTAAAACCATAAAAGCTTCTTAGTATTTTCCATTTTGAACCAACCAGGCATCCACAGGCGAAATGATATTATGATGTTCGACAAATTTATCTTTATTTTGAAGAAGTTCACTATAATTATCGTTGTAGTATAAAATTATTATTATCAGACAAGCAGTAGAAACAACTGATAAGTGACCGGTATCGTGATATTCAACACTAATTTTTCTTATTGCGTTTGAAAATTGTTCGTCCAGTCGGTTTTAAACTGGTATACAGTTTGGGCTGAGGCTACATAACTTTCTGGTAGCTTATTCCACACTTTGACAATTGGATTGCGAAGTAGTAACCCAGTAAATCGTCAACAAGAAGTAAGTCTCGTCTACAAGAGATCATAACTGCCATAATTGGCGAGCGGGTTGGCGATCCAGAGCAGGATTCATTGCTTGATCCTGTTAACGGTTTGGTCTAAAATAATTTGTCTCACATGGGTAGTTACTAATTTTAATTTAGCATCAGCGTCAAGTTGGATTTTTTTGCATCTTACAGTAAATTATTAATTTTTAAATACATACGAAATAAAATACAAAAAAATATTTTTCAATATAATTTATTGATAGTATAAAAAAACGAATGTACACGTATAAGCTAATTGAAGTCGTATCTTAAATTAGGTATATCTGAGCAACAAAATACAAACTACTTTCATTTTTGACAATGAAGATATACTATTTATTTCATTTTTAATTTAGTCAATATAAAATAAGTGTATTTTCTTCTAAATATTAACATAATTATTATAATGAACTCAAAATTATAAAAACACATTCAAACACATATTTGTATTGTATAGAAAAAATTCAAGCTAATCTTATGTGACATTTCATTTTTGCCATATTCGTTCAATATTTATACCAAAAAAGTCATCTAAAATAATGAAACAACCATTTTATCAACTTAATTTAGATTAACATATACTTAGTTCAAATACTCGTACACAAACTTATATACCAAAATCATTAAATAATAAATAACACATTAAAACCAGTCATAGTTAAACTTTTGATCTGTCATATAATTTTCAGAAATAGCAAACAATTTATCTCTGATACAGTCGCTTCTTAATAACATTTTTTATCAAACATAATCACACAAAATAAAAATAGTTATGGCCTTAAAATTTTGATAACTAACTTTTAAAATTTGGAGGTTAACAAAACACTGCACAAACAAATCTTATGAGATCTTTACGAAAACCAAATCTTTATCACTCTTATGGACAAACGTACCTAGGAATATAACGTACCACAAAACTTGATCTAATAATACTTCGAAATAAAAGTAGCTTAATATAACAGTAATCTAAAATATATCTAAAAATGTATTTACATAATTATCCTAATAATATACATTGCAGCAGGTAGAATTATTTCAATAAAATTAACGTCTCATAATATCTTCTATACTAAAACCTTTCTTCGGACCACTTGAGCCACTGGTTCCAGGCTTCGCATTTGTACTTGGCTGTATTCCCACTATATTTTTTATACCATTCGCAATGACACTTGAACATGTTTCTTCAGGATCTTTTGGATGTGATGTTGGAAGATCCTTACAATGTGTGACGCTAGTTGAAGTACTTGTTACGGTATCCTTGGGTGGAGCATGTTTTACGATTAAATCTTGAGCAACTGTTTGCTGTGGCCCTAAAACAGTATGTGGCAATCCGTAGGGTATTTGAGGATGAGGAGGAGGCATTGGTAAACCAAATTTGTGGTAAGTTTGTATACCCATTATTGTTGGAGGCATTGCGACTACTACTTCACTAGTTCCGATAGGGGGACGTGGCATTGTCAAATTTGTTGGTTCAGGAGATCGACTTCGAAAACCTGTAGCACAAGATCTTACATTTTCACTGATATCAGAGGGGTGTGCTCGTTTTCTAAATGGGCTTAAGTAAATACCTGAAGGCCCGGGATCTATAGGTGGACTTGTAATGTGTCCAATTTTCGAAGAGTCCGGCGGTTGAACCTGATGTAAATCTCTTCGAATTTGTAACTGTGGATGTCTTACTTGGTGATCAGGTATTTCTGAGTAACGCATCTCTTTTTCTATTATTTCTTCAGAGGTATACCTCCGTTTTTCATATAACTCAGATGTGGACATTTTGTGTTTGTCCATGTGCTGGGGACGCATCGTGTAAGGACTTGCTCTATCTCTTGGTTCATTGTGATGACAATGAGTTCGTTCTACCGGAGACGGTGATGTTTTTCTTGGTCTCTCCTCACTTTTCTCTCTTCCAACACTTTCAACTGAAGAAGATCGTGCTCTTCTAACTGGGGAATGCTCTGGTGATGATAGATCTGGATCTTCATCGTCATATCCGGGTTCAATTGGTGATTCCGGTCTTTCAATATTTTCTTCTCCTACATCTAATACATCTCCAGGAGGTACATCGCCAACAGCATGAGTTAAAGCATGCCGTCGTAAATCACAGTTTCTCCGAAACACTTTCCCGCAAGAATTACATTCATAGGGTTTGTGATCAGTGTGTGTTAGCAAATGTGTTTTCAGATTCGAACGTTGATTGAAACTCCGGCTACATACAGGACATTTGTGTGGGGATTCTTCCATATGAAGAATTTTATGTACAGCCAAGGTGCGTGATTGACAGAATCCTTTTCCACATTCTGTACATTTAAATGGTTTTTCTTTTGAATGTATGTACCTGTAACAAGTAAATAATATCTCATTAACTATTTGCTGCTAAATTACAATACCCTATACTATACCATTCAACGGATAATTAAAGGGAGGAGTAGAACTGAACGCACATTGTGCATATCTGCTTATTTATTGAGAATTGGTTTTATACGTTAGGAGGATAACCCTAAATTAAAGATGTATTTGCTGCTGACACGATAGAAATGTATTTTTATATCAAATGAAACATTTATTATTTTACTATTAAGCTTAGAAACACTTAGAAGTCTAAAGAAGTCAACATAAGTTGACGATGTCTGTATTACTAAATAACTTAATATTAAAGAGTTTGTATAGTTTATTATTGCCTCCGTTTTATCTACCACTACGATCCTTGTTTAGCAACTTTAAACGATATGTCATATTAGAAAGCTGATTGATATATATATATATATATATATACACATATATATATATATATATATATATATATATATATATATATATATATATATATATATATATACTCTCAGCACATAATGCTGGCAACGTATAGGAGCTCCCTATGTTCATCAGTTGGATAACGATACTACGTTAGAAGTAGCTAGGCAATACTACGATTCTAGACAAAAGACGATACTTTAGAGCGTCACTGACCACTATTCTACTCAAGCGCACCTTGAACGTGATCCAAGTAATTCGAGACTCTAGTCTCAAGGCGATATTGACGACGCCGCACGTCGAACGTACGATCAACTAACCAGTTTTTTAAGATCGGTAAAAAACATACTTTGCTTCTTTTCGTTCAGTCTGAAAATTATAGTCGGAGAGAGGATGAATAGTTCTTAATAAACTGGTTTTGTTTCATAAGAGTACCAGCTCGGCCGAATCGAATTACGTTAAATGCATTTTGTGGCCAATCACTTCGATTAATATTATTAACAGCGGCAGTATTCGATTGCCGATGTCGAAGACTCGAAGTATTAAAATAGCTTTAGATTTAAGATAAACTTAAATCATTTCTTTTAAATCGTGTATCTGTTTTTACAAGTACCTTTTTTTTTCTAGAAACTATTAATATTTTATTTATTTTGTTTGTATACAATGACAAATGGGAAATAATAATATTATGACTGTGTGATGACAATGTCTATTTTTGGATTTTATTCTGTTTTAATACTGTTATATTTAATTTGTTAAATTACTAAGTTATAAGATAAGTATCCAACCATCTATTTAGTAATTAAATAGTGCCACAATACGTTTTAATTTTCATTTGTCAGACAAAGTTTCACCTATTAGTTTAAAAAAAATACGAATCTCAAGTCTAATTAACAATGGCTGATTATAACAGAGGAGAGGATCGTTAACTTTACGCAATAAACTTTAATTAAAGTCTTAATCAATATTTTTTATCTTTATTGTGTATCTTTTATGTGCATACGTTCATTTTTTTTATTTCATTGTTTTACACGTCGTGCGAATTGCAAGAATATTTTTTTGTATTGAAAAGGTATTAATTATCATAAACAACATAATTATGTTATGCTTGCATTAGGAACCAGTTAGTACATAGACCGTTGAAAATCGTGTAATCGCTAACCATACAAAATTTACTTTGCCAGCAATTACTCTGTGTGTTCTTGTTTGAGGAAACGAGCCAAGGCGAAGATCCGCAAAATTACATCGGAAGTATTTAATATAATCGATGTTGTTTTTAAATGCACTGCTGTGTGTATTCACGATTATCCGGTATCCACAAACGAATGAAGTTATTGCATGCCTTAAGCGAAAGCGCAAGGTATGTTCTACTATCGCCTAAAAATTAAGATTCCAACGTTTTATAGAATAAAATCGTATCTAGCAATCATATTATACATATAAATGATATAACAAGCACATTGTTAGAAAGATAAATGATTCTTGAACTTATTAATATTTTTTTTAAATCGATTAATTGCTATTTTTAAATAAAAAAGGGGTTTTAGTGGCTTATGGTGTGGATTTATCATGTCCTGTGGCTTGTAAACACGATAACTTTTGAAAATATCAATTGTTTAACTCAATCTATTTTTTAATCTCTTCATCTATCATGTGGGAAGCCACTGAATGTAAATGACAGTGTAATTTTTTTAATATTTTACAAGTACAGGCAGTTTATCATAGGTTGGCAAATATTTGATATTTATTATTACATTTTTAAATATCGTTTTATATACAACATTTAAAATATATATTCGTGACCTAATAACACAATATATTATATTTTATTTGACAATTAATTTTACACATATTTTTTATTATATACAATATTACAGACTATAATAATAATAGAAAAAAAAAACTAAAACTAGAAACTTTAATTATCATATAGTCCTACTCCTCGCGGTATCGTGCCAAGAACGCTGGCTGCGATTCCACGCTGAATGACAATGCTTAGCCTTTGAACGAGAAAAGAACCAGCCCTCTTATCACCAGCAGCAACGACAAGCCGCGGATGGAGTTTCTTTAGGAACTCCACCGCACGTGGACGCCACGGACCGATAGTCTCTACAGCAAATGGCACAAATATGTAGTCATCTCTCAGAGACTCATATTTGCGCCACTTACTCAGTTCAGCTGCCTCTGATGCCGCCTCGGCTCTAAACGAGGTACCCCTGAGATGAGAAGCCGCCAGAGTGTCTACGCCCTAGCTTTACCTCTCTCCCAATATATTATATTAATATAATTCATATATAATCGATAAAATCGAATATAAGGTGACTGTTCTATGGCTTAATGATAGTAACTTATATATATATATATAAGTTACTATCACTACACACAAAAACATCATATATATATATATATATATGATGTTTTTGCCAATGTAGTGGTGGCGAAAAAAATCCACTACCACAAATTATCCCATATCTTAAGTAGGTGAGCGGCCAATATATTGTAACAGGACAAAACAACATGTCTTATAGCAGATTGGAATTCTTATGTTCAAACCTAAATAACTGTTCCTGTTCCACCAACGGCTAATTTTCGAAAATATAATGGAAAAAGCTGGGAACAAGCTGTTTTAAGCGCTTGATTAGGTAGATTACCTAAGAAGAACAGATTTCGTAAAAAAAACTATAGGGGGAAACTAAACCAGGAGATCATGCGTCAGTATCTGTTGGTTATAGACTAGGCAGACTCGGCATATTTGCAACAGATGCTTCCATAAAGAACAGTGTAAAGGAAGAATGGGGCAACGGAATCCAAAGGGTCAACAGCTGGCCGATTTCGTGGAGAAAATAACTCTTTATAATGAATCTTTTCTTTCAGAAGCAGCTTCACAAATAGTGGACCTGGTCCAGCTCCGAAGATTCGACCAAAAACTAGAGTGGCTTTATTATGATGACCAGATGACAATTGTTCAGTGGTGTCTCAGTGATAGTAAAAGTGAAGTGAACGGTAAGGTGAAAACTGGCAGCGATTACCGAATGAAGTTGAATTAAATGAAAATGAATTGAGAAGCACACTGAGTCTTTACTCCAGGTTGGAGAGTTTACATTTAATGAAGGCAACGATTATACGTCTTCGCCTGTTCTAATCCAATTTTTAGATAAAAACCCCAAGAGATTTTTAGCTCGAGTTACTAAATCGTTTTCAGTACAGAAATACAGTGGCTGATATAAATGACAAGTTTGTCAAAACTGTCCATGCGGTCACAGCGAACTTTTGTCAGACCTCGTGGATGATTGACGGGAAATGAAACTTCAGTCTTCAACAGATATGGCAGCATTTAGGCAACAGAATAGACAGATATCCAAATGCTACAATGCAGACGCTCGTATTGAAGAAGCGATTGAGCGGATCCAAGATTCTTTTCTTTCTTTATTTTCTTTAACTAAGACCAAGGTTGGTCTTTGCCTGAGATCTGTCTGCCAGTACCATATCTTGGACACTTGAGATTTTGAGTAGGGTTGAGAAGTTCTAAGAGTAGCTGTACACATCATCATGGCACTACACGAACACCGGCACTAAGTCGATTATATCCCGGACGTCAGTCTAAAAGAGATTAAAATGGTTCTCCAGCACTTTAAACAAGGACAACAGCAAGGCTCTTGATGAGAACAGATTACAGCGGAGCTTTTGAAAGCAGGTACTTAAAAAACTGGTACTTAAAGTCCTTCAGAAGCTCTTCAGTTCCGTCCTCCATGGTGGCACTACTCCGGAGGCGTGGAATAGTAGTTCAGTGGTCTTATTCTTCAAGAAAAGTGACAACGGTCAATTGCAGATCGACTTCTCATATGAGCAGCGTATAAGTGCTATTTTCGAGCGTCATTACGAATTATCTTGCAAGTGACGTTCTATCTATCGAAGAAGTCTTCGTTCCATAGCTCAAATTTGTCTTAAAATTTTGAATACGAGGCTTCAAACCCAAATGTCATACATTAGCGATGGAAAGCAGCCCTACCGGTACCATAGTTTCAACCAACCCGCCATTTTAGAGTAGTGACTATGAGCAAATATTTTTAAGCCGATGCACAGCAGTGGAGTCGAAGAGATATTAAGGCCGCCTTGTACGGTGTGTAGGTTTGAAAACGTTGTCTTACTCCTCACAGTTGTCGAGCAAAACTCACTGCAGCATAGAGTATTTTAGGACAAACAACGTACGTCCAACATACAGAGTGGCCCATAAGTCCCTTGAAATGTAAAAAAATAATTAAAAAAAAACTAATGACATTATGAAAAAGGTTTTTATTTTGTCATAATCCTTATAAAATGGGAATTATTTTTTGAAAATTACATCATCTAAATGTAATCCGTTACGATCGCGGCACTCCTGTAAGCGACGTTTAAAATTATCCATCACTGCGTGGCAAGTAAGCTCTGTAATGTTTGCCATTTCTCTTTGGATATTTTCTTTCAGGACGTCAATTGTCCGCGGGTTGGTTTCGTACACTTTAGTCTTAAGATAACCCCATAAGAAAAAGTCCATTGGGGTCAGATCTGGACTACGTGGTGGCCAAGGAATATCTCCTCTTCGAG